CCCGTGCTGTCCCTGTCCTGGGAGTGTTTGATGGGGACAGTGTAGAGGGAGCTTTACCCTGTATCTAATCCCGTGCTGTCCCTGTCCTGGGAGTGTTTGATGGGGACAGTGTAGAGGGAGCTTTACTCTGTATCTAATCCCGTGCTGTCCCTGTCCTGGGAGTGTTTGATGGGGGACAGTGTAGAGGGAGCTTCACCCTGTATCTAACCCCGTGCTGTCCTTGTACTGGGAGTGTTTGATGGGGGACAGTGTAGAGGGAGCTTTACCCTGTATCTAACCCCGTGCTGTCCCTGTCCTGGTAGTGTTTGATGGGGACAATGTCGTGGGAGCTTTACTCTCAGTTCAAAAGAGCCGAGGAAGCCTTACCCTCAGTTCAAAACAGTGGAGAGAGCCTTACCCTCAGTTCAAAACAGTGGAGGGAGCTTTCCTCTGTAACCCGAGCTGTAATCCAGATGAGTGTGTGATTCTGATGTAGGTACATCCTGCTCAGAATCACTTTGAAAAGCAGAGGTGGGTAGAGGAAAGGGGGACGTGGAGAGAGTGGGGTGAGGTGTTTGGACCCTGTGCACCTCGCGGAGCTGTGCCCCCCTCCATCCCCACAGAGATGCCGGTACGCCGGAGCACCTCGAGGGAGACCGGGCACGCTCTCCTAGCGGAGGCACGCTACAGTTGGCAGTGTAACCCATGCCAGGTCTCTACCAGCCCCCCTTGGGGTCGAGTGCGAATCGGGATAGCGGGGGTGGGTTGTGGCGAGGGAAGGATGGGACTGACTGTTTTATTTCTCCCCCTCTCGCTCAGTTGCAATGTATCTTGGAATCAAAAAGAAACAAAACCCAGGTCGATCAGACTTACCTGGAATATAAAGATCACCAGCTCGCGGGACCCGGGCGAGATGATCGATGTTATCTGTAAGGTCCTCGCGAAGAACGGCTGTGTCTACCAGCAACATGAACCTTTCCTCTTGGCTTGTACCCACGGCCGTGAGGCCACCGAAAACTTTGTCCAGTGGGAGATTGAGGTGTGCCGGCTACCCAATCTCTCAGTCAACGGAGTGCGCTTCAAGAGGACGTCGGGAACATTTTTGTCCTTCAGGAACATTGTGACCAAAATCACCAGTGAATTAAAGCTTT